AAGCCATAAATAATGGTGAATGCGGGCCGTTTGATTAATTAAAATTAGCGGTATATATTTTTTTCGCCTCACCGGCCCAATGCCACTGCGGCGTTAAGGACCTACACTTCCGCAACATTCGTTTGTCTTGATGGTTTAGTATACCGAATTTGTAATTTTCTCACTAAAGGCGCTAAATACAAAACTAACAAAATGTGCAATTACTGAAGTCTTGTGTCTACTAAATATTAAGTTTAGTATTTTTTGTTGTTCTACATTTTTAATGCAAGTAAAACACAATACACAATTAATTACAATTAAAAACTACCAGTATTTTTTTAATCCCTTGCTTTTAAACTGACGTTTTTATTACAAACGCACATTTATTTCTTTAAGTCTCTATTTCTCGTTTAAACGATTCAATTTTATTGCTAACAGGCTTACTACTCGTGGATTTATTGTTGTCCTTCTAAATTTAATGAGGTATAAATTTTCTGTTTGGTTGATGCGCAGTTAAATAGGAATTGGCGTCTTAAAACCACATCCCGTTAAAAATAGATGACACGGCTACTGGATGTCGGTGTAAATCGACTAGACATAGAGTAATTACTTCACTATGCATCAAATGCCAGCCGGGGGGGGGGTTAATCGCAATAATTCTTCGATGTCGTAAAACCAGGCGTGCACCTGTTTGGAGCGATAGATCGCAATACGCAAAAAGCGTCCGGGCGGAAAAACTAGAGGGAATCCTGATTTACGACGTTATCCGTGAGCACCTGGTGTGCGATGAAGATGACCTGCGGCCTATACGTTTAATCACTCGAAGATCTCAGACCGATAAGTCAATGGGACTGAAATTAAAACCTAATTTTGACAAAAAATTTCATGACGTATATAAACAGTATCGCAACAACTCTCAGGTGTATACCATTAATTATACTGTCCCCACTTGAGGAGGGTGGAATGATGAATCTGTGGTTTGATCGTTCAAGAATACTTTTTTCTCTCTAAGTTCGTTGTTTTTGTTTGACATACGGGTTTAGTCATCTTGTAATTTCTATTGGTGGGTTTGAAACACCAAACCAGAAAGAGGAGGTAAATAATTAAAACGTTTACAGCATATAAAGTAGTTCTATATGTCATTAATGCCTTGATATTTTTTTTTGTAAAACACGCAAATTTAAAAAAAAAGGTTACTCTTAGTCTCTCGCAATCTCCGCCTCTTACACACTATCTCTCTATCAATCTCAATTTCTTGTCCTCACACTTTCTCATCTTCCTCACATTCTTACTTTCGTTCTTTCTTTTCTACTCTCTCTCCCATTCTCAATATTTTGTCCTCACGCTCTCTCTTTTCCTCCTATTTTTACTTTCGTTTTTCATTTTCCAATCTGTCTCCCATTCTTAATCTCAATTTCTTGTCCTCACACTCTCTCTTTTTCGTCACTTTTTACTTTCGTTCTTTCTTTTCTACACTCTCTCCCATTCTCCATATTTTGTCCTCACGCTCTCTCTTTTCCTCACATTTTTACTTTCGTTCTTTCTCTCCCCCTCTTTCTGTATTTCATTCTCAATCTCTTGTTCTCACACTCTCTTTTTCATCACTTTCTTACTTTCGTTCTTTCTTTTCTACTATCTCTCCCAATCTCAATTTCAATCTCTTGTCCTCACGCTCTCTCTTTTCCTCACATGCTTACTTTCGTTTTTCCTCTCCCTCTCTTTCTATTTCTCAATCTCTTGTTCCAACACTCTCTCTTTTTTGTCACTTCCGTTCTTTCTCTCTCTCTCAATCTCTCTCTCTCCTTTTCTCTCTCTCTCAAACTCTCTCTCTCTCTCTCTCTCTCCCTTTTTCTCTCTCACTTTCTCGCTCCCACTCTCTCAATCTCAATGTCAATTTTTATCTATCTATCACTATCTATCCATTTATCTACCTATCTATCTACTTCTATTTATTTATCTATATACTTATCTATATTTTCGATCATTTCGATCTTTTTTCTGTTTCTTTCTTTATTTCTTTTCTATCTCTTTTTTGATATTTATTTTTTACTTTCTCTCTTTTTATCTCTTTCCCTCCTCACGAACTCCTGTTCTCTCTCTCTTTCTTTGCCATTTTCTCGCTCTATTTCGCTTCATTTCTTATACTTTATCTCTTTTTTCCTCCTTTTTTTGCTGTATCTATTTATCACTCTATATGTGTACATTTAAACAATCGAAATTTTAATGAGCAATTTTATTAAGGAAATATGCCTCCAGGTTTTTCAATTGGTAATGATATTGGTCCTTTCAGGCCCTATTTGATTTTCCGAAATAGTTAGAAGCTATCGAAGAAATCAGCGTCCAAATGAAAAGCCAATAATCCGGCAGACGATTGGATTATGAGACAAAATACGCAATTGACGCATGGACAATTTTAAGCCCGCTTCTTAGTACATTAGAGCCGTTGTGTTAAATCTCTCGCGTGCCGTGCTGTACCTGTCTGAAAGGACTCACCCGACCAGAAATAACATACAACATTACTGAAATGCATTCTCCTGTGCTGCACTGGACTTCATTTCAAGCAATGCACATACTTCACGTCGGATTGATCAATCCCATTTTCAACTGTAGAAGTTTAAACTAATTTTATAGATAAAGTAATTTTTCATTGAAGGTACATTATATGTTTTTAAAATGTGAATAACATATAGTAAAGTTTTTTTAGTCTAAATAGAACATCAATGAGAATAAGTAAAAGATTTAAGAATTATTTTATACGAATCAAATGATATGACATTGAACTATTACATAAAATGGATAATTTAAAATATTACCGAGTACTTGAGCCAATTTTTAAACAATATAAATGTGCACGCGCTGGTCGGTCGCAATAAAAATAAAATTAAATAAAATCTTATGATATTTCCTTCTTGAAGGTGGGATAATAGGTCATCTCAAAAAACCGGTTTTCCGAGTTTTCGTTTGGGTTTATCTTCCATAGATTGTTATTGTTTATAAATTTATTTACCATTTTTCTCGGGTACCCATTCTTTTTTAAAATTTCCCGAACCAGTGTTTTGTCTTTCTTGGTAACACCTTTCGACGACAAATTGAAAACCAAAAATTGTTAATAAAATAAATAAAATTTGTTGTTTAAAAATAGATTTATAAAAAAAAGCAATTTTAACTGTTGAGCGGTATTTTTAATGTTGATTCGTTGGTCTGTGATAAGATGTTGATAAGAGGTCGAACGTCACATGAGAGGTTGTGATAAGAGTCTAGTCAGGTTGAAAATATTAAAACGTTTGTTTCTAGTCTGAATAAGTACCACACTGGCTCTTTTTTTAAATAAACTGTTATAAAATATTAATGACTGACCACCACTTTTTTAAACATTGTAAGTAGTAAAGAAACAATGATAACCATGTTGATATAAAAATGTAAATAAAAAAATTATTTGTTCTGTGTACAGGCGTTAACTCACCTGAGGAAGGATTAAAATAAATCCGAAACGTTGTGGATAAAAACTGGTTGTGGTTTTTTGAGATGACCTATTATCTCACCTTCAAGAAGGACATAAGATTAACTGCTGAGGTCGAAATATAAGAAAACATCATTAAATTAAATAAAATAAAAAATACAATAAAATACTAACTTGTTAACTGTTGCTTGATTTTCTCGACAACCAGGGAGGAGAGCCGTTTAATAGCTAGAACCTGCAATAACTCTGGCCAAAGGTAAAACAGAATCCTAGTCTTTTAATTACCTTCGGGGCTCCGTCCGAACCCTGGATGATGTGTCGCATTAAGGATGAGGGAGACACTCGCGTTATTTTGAACGCGATAATTAACAAAAAAAAAGGTTCTTGACAATAAGAGAAAAACTGGAAGAAAACTAAAAGAAAATCACTTTTGGAGACTAATTAATAGTGGACTGTATGGAAGCGAGACCGAAGCGAACAGGACTAGGCAGCAACAGGACAGGATTGTGGGGAGGGAACAGAGCTAGGATAAATTCTAGATTAGCGGCATTTCGGAAACAAAATAACCAATTATAATTCGCGATATTTGGCGCGAACAATAAATACAAATTAATTTTTTAGAGACAAAGAATAACATTACACGAATCAAAACAGAACAGTAATGTGTGGTGATTAGTGACCGTTAATCGATAATTATTCAAAAATCGTGAAATGCGGTCTGGTGTGATGTAGGTTTCAGAAAAACATTTTCTTTATCGTGCCAACGTTTCTATCTTTATTGAGATCATCTTCAGGGCCTAGGATTTACAATCAACACGACACGCAAGAATGGCACAATTACATAGAAGACAAACACTTTGAATGTGTAGAAATACTTTGATTGAATATAAAAAATATATTTTGCATTGTATAAAATCACTTTTCCGTATTTTTTAAATGTAAACAATGTTTGTAAATCCCAGGCCCTGAAGTTGATCTTAATAAAGATCGAAAAGTTGGCACGATAAAGAAAATGTTTTCTGAAACCTACATCACACCAGACCAGACCGCATCTCACGATTTCTGAATGATAGTAGAACAGTAAGATTATTACTCAAAATAAATATAGTAAATTATTACCTAATACTTTAGTCGATTTTTAAACCATATAAATAAAACATGAAGTTTTTATGAAACGTTTATTTCAACCAGCATGTAGGACAGTTTATCAATATTATGATAAGATTTCCATAAATTATGACCTAACGACCTACTAAAAGAGATTATGTGACTAGCTATATCACAAGTTGTGCACAGCTGTCAGAATGGTATACATAGAAAGGATTGATGTATAAATCTGTCTGATAATGCCGTACGGGGAAAAATACGGACCAGGATGATCAGAACTGTTCAAAACATTTGAAAAAGTAGCGTAGATATTACACCTAATAATATACTATAACTTTTTGTGAATTATTTAATTTGACACCGTGTTTGTTTTCTATAGTCTACTTGATGATATTTATAGGAATATCCAAAAGCTTTTAAAAATTTTTGAAATATGACAGTTTTCTGAACTTACCGACAGTGACCATGTCGCCGTGGTCGGACACGGTCTGAAAAGATGGAGCTTCTGCAGACACTTCACATCTGTATCTTCCGCTGCTCGACATGTCCAGAGAGGAAAGAACGACTTGAGTTTCATTGGATTTATCGAGCTGAAAAAAATACAAAAATTAATATTATTCTCAAATTCACTATTTTTTTGTAGTCCGCTTGTCCAATTAATATCATTCAATTAATTAAGGTTTTAAGTTGAGATAAAAAGTAAGTGTCACGAGCAGGATTCGAACCCATGACCTTCGGCTTGATACGCCGCTACTCTATCACTTGAGCTATCATGAATGACTTCGATCCACTTGGTCACTAACTTCCCACCTCAACCCACCTTTCGAATTTTCCCTCCTTTTTGCCATTTTTCAAATGTCGTGTAATCTATTCGAATCTCGGCGACAAATGAAATCGCCACGGAGAGCTTTAGTGAAGTATATTTCATTAAATTCACTATTTTTCGTGGTCCGCTTGACCAATTAATATAATTTAATTAATTAAGATTTTAAGTTGAGATAAAGGTTAATAATATTATGGGGAATAAAAATGGCTTTAGACTGTTCTGTTAAAAAAAAAAAAAATGTGTGACTTTTGTCCGTTTATTCTGATAGGGATCAGCATTGTTCCCTGTTTCAATAAAGAAGTATATTGCACGATTTGACAATTGGTTTATCTATTGATACCAAAATGTGTAAAATTTTCGTATAACTTCTAATCCGATTTATATAAATAATTGAAATTTAAGATTTCCCTAGGGTGATGTAAGAGGGTGTGAGATTAGAGAAAAGGCGTTGGAAAGCAACAAAGGCCCATGGGCTGACAATGGTTCACCCCGCATATTTCAAAAGGTAGTGTGACCCATTCCGAAAAGAGGAGGCATATATCAGCCCATTGTGCATATTGTTCCCCTCACGGCAGACACCTGTATACAAACACAAACCTCCAATTCCCCTGCCAACAATTTCTTATTATAAACAACATACTACCGTCCTTCACCTGAAATTCTATGTTGTTTGAATTTCAATGGAGCTTACAATTTTAGAAAAGGGATTGTCTATTAGATCGAAAATATGAATCTATCATTCTGGAACTGCTCAAATAAATAACGAAAATGTGCAAGTAAAAAAAGAATAGTCAACATGGGTTAACTCCCATCAAAAGCTTAAAGCTTAATGGATTCTGGTATAAAATATTTCACTTAAGAATACTACTGAATTGAGAATGAAAAAGGGTCAAGTTCTCATTCCCTGGCAACGTTCAATAATTTAAGACATTCTCTGAATTCAATTTCTTGGCTTATTTTCATAAGAAAGTGAGCATAACAATGTAAAGCATTACAAACAGATCAGTATGGAAGTATAAATTAAAAATTAACGCTAATTTGTGAATAATATTCTTTAACATTAAACAATTGCTTACATTTAGAAATGATAAATGATGGAGTGAGTGTGGTATTCAATCCTTTTTGAAAAGATAGTTCCTACTCACAGTAAGTTGTTTTGCAACCATCCGGATTTCGAGTCTTTTAGCTCCTCATCAGGTTGAAGGACTTCTACAACCACGTCTCTCGACATGAACTGCAAAAGTGAACCCGTTTATACCCCCGCCAACGCGAAGTTCCAATTAGCAGCTGGTTTTTTTAATGGCGCTCAATTTGAACGTGCGAACCGTGGAAAATATAACACAAATAAATAATAAAATAGTAAATACGGTAAGAAATTAGTTGTAAATTAGTGATTACAGATAAAAGATACAAAATTATAATGATACTTTAATATCATTAAATTATTTATTTAGAAATCGTGAGATTAAAAAAAAAAAAAAAAACGCTGTCAAGCAGTTTGATTAACGTGTGGTGATTAGTAACCGTTAGTCGATAATTATTCAGAAAGACAGCATCTCACAATTTCTGAATAATTAGTTCGATTAATTATTCAGAAATCGTGAGATGCGGTCTGGTGTGATGTAGGTTTCAGAAAAACCTTTTCATTATCGTGCCAACGTTCCTATCTTTATTGACATCATCTTCAGGGCCAGGGATTTACAAACATTGTTTACATTCAACAAGAAAACAAACACTTTGATTGAATATAAAAAATATATTTTGCGTTGTATACAAATTCACTTTTCCACATCCAACATCTATTTGTTAAATTTCAACAATGTTTGTAAATCCCCTGAAGATGATCTCAATAAAGATCGAAGCGTTGGCACGATAAAGAAAATGTTTTTCTGAAACCTACATCACACCAGACCGTATCTCACGATTTCTGAATAATTAATCGAACTAATTATTCAGAAATCGTGAGATGCGGTCTTTCTGAATAATTATCGACTAACGGTCACTAATCATCACACGTTAATCGAACTGCTTGACTGGCCAGGCTAGATTGATATCGCCGACCAGCTAAAATCAGGGTATTATTGTGTTTCAGAGAGAGAAAAATTATTTTCAGACGATTAGAAAAACGTGCACCTGTACTTTCATCGTACATCTTTGTTCACTTCCCATATCGAATCGGCATGTCAATTTCGCCAACAAAAAATATATAAGCTCGATACTCGATTTAACTGAGAATAAAATTCGTTCTCTCATTTACATAAGTGTATTGTTAGAGCTTGGAAAAGCACTGGTGAACTTTAAAGCACTAAAAAGGGTAGAATAGCTGTTTAAATGCACGACAATCAAACCAAAATGTTTGCAATAATTATTTTCTATTTCACCACAATTGCGCTGTTTTCTTTAATGCCGGTCTTTTCGTAAGATGACGTCTATAAAAAAAACAGAGTTGGACGGTTTAAATTGCATACATAAAAGATTTAAAAATCAGATTGAACAATGATATTAAAAATGTAAATTTTCTTAACAGGCAGATAAAACAAGTTGTGATTTAATTAGCTTTTACACAATTAAAACAACAATTATCCCGGCATAATTTGGTAAAGAAAAATCAACAAAAAGGTGAACCCGATTAATGCAATGACTCTGTCAGCACCATGTATACGTTAGGAAGTCGAACTGATTTAATGGTAATTGGAAGGTTGGAAAACTTCAATTTGAAGTCAAGATGGCCTGGTAATAAGGTAAGGGGGGGCCACGATTTGAAAAAGACTGATCAAGAAAGACCAGGACCACTTGAAATCTCATTTCCGCGATGCTTTTATGACCGAATGGCCAATTTCATGCTCATATAAAATCGCTGTTTGCGAATACCCGAGACTTTATAATGATCGAGGTATAAAAAGGCCCCCACCCTCAATTTGTATTAACGGAATGAAAATAAGGGTTCGGAATAACTTTCAAAATTAAAATATATGTACATTGCGTTCATGTTTTCTGTCATGTTTTTAAACTTGAATTGTTTCGAACCGAGAGAGAATTTCCATTAATTCACAATCAACATTTAAATTTTATCTCAGTTTAAAATATCAACACAAATTCGCCGAGGTTTGTTCCTTTTTTCTTTTGATAATAAAATCAAGTAATAGAATAATAAGATTTTTTTTTAAGTTTTATCATTTTCTGAAAACAGACAGATAATATACAAATAGTTTCATTTGATTCATACCTGCGGTTGCAGTGAAAAGTGGGTTTTAGTAGAAAATTATGAACAGTGAGTTATGGTAATGAAAAAATAACAAAACCATTTCAGGAAAACTATTTGGAAATTTTATCAACCACTCAATTCTAAGAAAAAATTTAAGATTATTCAGAAATCGTGAGATGCGGTCTGGTGTGATGTAGGTTTCATAAAAACATTTTCTTTATCGTGCCAACGTTTCGACCTTTATTGAGATCATCTTCAGAGCCTGGAATTTGCAAACATTGTTGAAATTTAACAAATACATGTAGGGTGTGGAAAAAAGTGCATTTATACAATGCAAAATATTTTATAACTGAATAAGATCATGAATGGCACAATTACACAGAAAACAACCACTTTCAGTGAGAAGAAATACTTTGTTTGAATATATATATATTGCATTGTATAAATTTACTTTTCCACATCCAACATGTATTTGTTAAATTTAAACAATGTTTGCAAATCCCAGGGCATGAAGATGATCTCTATAAAAGATCGAAACGTTGGCACGATAAAGAAAATGTTTTTCCGAAACCTACCGTTTTTCAAACCAGACCGCATCTCACGATTTCTAAATAAATATCGATTAACTGTCCCTAATAACCACTCATTATTAAATTACTTACTTACTATTATTAATTATTCTCACTATTATTAAATATTCTAATTACAATTAAAAATAATAACAATTAAAATAAATTAGTTTAATTATTTGGACTTTAATATTATTTATGTACCTATTTAAAATGGGAGGTAGATCAAAATCTGTTATGTTATTAATGCATTTATCCCTCTGTTCAATTTTACATTTTTTAATTTCAAATTTCTCAAACCAATCTAGTTCTTTCCCTCCACACTCACCCCATCATTTATAATTTCTATTAATTTGCTTGTCAAAACAGTAATGGATTATAACACAATCAACAACATTACCTCCACTTGCTTAATATCTGCTAATAAACAAATACTTTTAAATCTTTATTATAAATTGAGAGTTTCATGCTCAAAAATTAACAAATCAATCTGGTTCAATTCTCAATGTCTGAGATTAAACTTAATGTGAGTAGGAACCATCTTTCTTAAAAAGGATTGAAATTATGTTTTGTTTCTTGGTCCTTAAATTCCGAAAATTTGCTCGATTTAGGCAAGTGTTCTTTTACGTCTCTACCGCTTTGTCCTGTATATTTAATATCACAATCATTACAATTGAATTGGTAAAAACAAAACCTTGTCTTTAGGTTTTGAGAGGATGTTTTTAAATGAACCCATACTTCTAAAAGTTATTCTAAAACCTTCTTGTTTAAAAATTTTACTAACTTTTTCCGATATTCACCAATGTATGGCAAACAACCTAATGATTCATTTGTGTTGAGATGGCTGAGTCTTATTGTTGATTCGTTTAAAGTTAATTTTTTTATTCTTTTAATTAGTAACCTATCAATAAATATTTCTAGATACCCGTTGTTTTTGCTAAGGTTTAATAGATTCTAATTCTTTTTTATAGTTAGACGGTGTTAATGGAA